TTTTTTTTTTTTTTTTTTTTTTTTTTTTTTTTTTCATGTTACAAAACATCTAAGATTAGTTGAATGGCCATTCTCACAAACCCCATTGCCCCAAATCACCGAAGGAGGCAAGGAAAACAAAACAGAGTTGCAGTTGCTATGATATTCGATATTCAATAGGTTCATGATATATATATATATATCTTTTTTTTTTTTTTTTCATAAGTACACTTCCTTTTAAAAAAAAGTTAAAATTTTAAAATATTCTTAATTTTTTTTATTTTTTATTTTTTAATTTTACACTCACAACATTTAATTTAGTACTTTTTCTTTACATATCTTTCCTCATTTTTTCAATTTTCACATACAACCCCTTACCTTTTTTTCACCTCACCTATTTTGATAGGTAATTTTAATTCTTTTGATTTTACATTACTCTCCTCTCTCCTCTTTCAGTTTTCTTACTCTTATCTCATCTCTTCCGCTTTTGATTTTCACGTACATGTAAAACGTAGAACTAGTTTTCAATAATATTATAGGTGTGTGTGACTTTCTCGACAATAGGTAAGAAATTAGAGAAAGACGAAATGGTGCATGTGAAAACTAAAAAAAAATATATGAAAAAGAAAAAGAAAGTAGCAAATTAAATTTTAAAGATATAAAAGAAGAAGAAAAAAATTACAAATATTTATAATTTTTTTTTTTTAAAAAAGGAGATGTACTTATAAAAAAAAAGGAGGTGTATATATGATGAGCCTATTCAATATAATAATGGGATATGAGACCCATCAGAAACCCCAATGACCCAACTAAACGTCCGTAACCATGCATTGGGCTTTTGCTATTTGCAACTAAGTGCACCTGTTTTCGTATTTATTTTTTAAAATATATTTTTATTACCTATAATATCCTTATAAATTTTATCTTCATACTATTTTTGCACACCATGTTTATTATTCTTTAAATTCTATCTTCATCTCCCATGTTTATTTATATTTTTTTTTTTAAAAAAAGCCCATAATTTTAAACTCTCGTCTTTAGCCTCACATTCATAATGATTTTCATGAGAGTGATACATGTGTTTTTCATTAAATTTGTGTTATATTGTAGGTTTTCCTCTATGTAGTAATGTTTTTCAAGTTACATCCAATGCCTTTGCATTTCTCATCCATTTGAAATTAAAAGATCCTAATCAACTTTCCGTAACACTTCATTTTAGCCTTCAAATCAGTGTGTTTTTATTAGTCACTTTGTGTCTAACTTTCAAATAAGTGTGCCTTTAAATTTAAACTTCCTTTGAAAAAAATATCCAAATTTATCATACGTTTAAATTTGGCTAAGGTTTATGACTACCAAAAATATAATTTCTGGAACTGTGTATTTTTTAAAACATATTTTTGAAAGTTATTTTTCAGATTTAGAATTGTTATATGAGTTATGCTACACATTCCGAATACTTGTCCGAAATATTCTCCGAAATTTTAAAATATTAATATTGTATAATAAATTTATTATAATATTATTATTTAACTAAATATTTTATAATTTAAATCATTATTTTAATGTTTCGGAAAGAATTCGGCACACATTTTTCGGAGGAAGAATCATTTTCCTTGTTATATTTTGTTCTACAAAGTAATTTATGAAAATATATTTTAAAAAATACACAAGATTCAAGAAAATACTTATCAAAATTGGTATATATTGTTCCTTTGAAAGTAATTTTATATAACTTTTTAATTTTCCTTTAATATCAAAAGAGATAGTATTGAGGAATAGAATGCGAGTGAAATGTACAAAGGAATAAGGTGTTTCTAGAAGAATAAAAGCGAGCTAAGGAAACAAACTATTATTTGAAAGGAAAATAAAAATTAAAAATATATTTAAATAAATTTTTTTTTAAAAGATAACAAGGTATACTTAGTAAATAGAAAAGGTTTGCAAATGTGTTAGGAAGAAAAGTTCACAATTTACAAGGATTTGGGATACCTTGTTGGGTGAAATGTATTTTTAAATAAAGGAGAAATTATATTTGTAGATGTTTTTAATAGTAAATTACTAGAGTTAGTCTAGTCTATCAAAATTGATATGTCCCATTGAGTTAGTCCAGACAAATTTTTATTTTAGGCCTAAAAAAGACTAATCAATTTGGCCTAGCCTATATAACTAATTAAACCATTCTAATATTATGGAAATATTAACTTTTAGAGCATAGAAAAAGGAAATAAAATAAAATAAATTCACACACACACACGCACACACACACATATAAATAGATTGATATACAATGAATACCCCTAATCAAGCTAATAAAAATTGAGTTTGAAAGATATATGACCAATTTGGCCTAATATTTTTTCTTTTAAATCACATGTAAAATTATTGAAAAAAAAAGGTTGTTCTATTCGTCTTGACTTGACAAGTCAATGGGCTAGTCCAAGTCAAAGAAAACATAGCTCATGTAAAAGTTGTGTCAACCTAGTTTGATCTGACAACTTTTCCTAGTAGTAAATGTTGGAGTAGATGCTGAGGATTAAAGTTCAATCCTCTTAGCTGTTGTAATCTTTCTAATTGATTAGAAAAAATATTTCCAATGTTATTATGGATTTTATTTACATATGCATATAGTGTATTTTTTTTAATATATTTTCATCTAATGATATATGATAAGATTGTTGATTTTTGTAATAAAAGACTAAATTAATTAAGAGTTATCAAAGATGAATGTAGTTCAAAAACCAACTCATAGGGGAGTTGCAAACAAAGGAGTGGTGGTTATAAGGAGCATTATGATGAATATCTTGATTGGATGTCATGGTTAAAATGAGGATTGCAGGTATGAGAAAGCTTGAGAAATCTGGGCATCGGAAGGTTCTTCGTCATTCTGTTTTCATTATGGAATCAAGATGGTGAAGAAACCTATAATGAATATAGCTAAGAGAAAAAAGTGTATATTTGATTAGTGTTTTAGTGGAGTTACAAAAGCATGGGGAACTAGAAAAATCTTTTTGAAAAATGACCAAGTTTAGGGTTATGCTAAAAATGAGGTCTTGTAATGAGCTTTTGATAAAATTTTAATTTATAACTTCAATTTTGAAGGATCTTATAGACACATTATGACATACTCAATAAATCATAGATAGAGAGTTAAATTTTATAATTTATGCACTTGGTGTTAACAATTGAACTGTCTTTTTGTTTATGAAATCTAATTGAAACACTTGTTTGAGAACAAGAATAAGAGAACACTACTCTCAACCACAAATTGGGAGAAGCATCATCTACAAACCAAATATCCCTTCATTAAGTAGAATGTCTTTTTTTTTTTTTTTTTTTTCATTCACATTATGGATGCATTTTTTTGTCAAAGGCCCCATGGTTTTGCTCTAAAATATAAGACCAAACAACAAAATCATCAACAACAAAAAAAAAATAACAATCTCCACCTTTTTCCTAGCAAGTTAAGGTCGAATAATTTTGTGGTTTTACCACTAAGACCTCTATATGATTATGGCTGCAAGCCTTTTTCTAGCTAACCACGCTATTTTCTACTTATTTTCACCATTATACCATAAGAATGTTCTCAATTGTCCAATCAAAGTTTGCAATACACTAGTATAAAAATAATATTTTACATTAGGATTGTATATTGGTTATTTTAGTGGAAAATTCTAGGGTGGACCATTTATGAAGGTGGTCCACCATGCACCATAATTATTGGCCCTTTGATTAAATTGAAGTGCAGATTGTTGCTA